TTTTGGACATGTTAACACATTTTGACTAACAACTCTTGAATCAAATCTTTTAAAATCTCCTCTTTAAGCATTTTTTTTCTCATTTTTTTTATTGGGAACAAATGTCATACAGAAATCAAGCTCAAGGTACAAATCTGTGTTCCACAGTTATTTTTCCCCTTTTTGGAAAATGTGTGCTATAACAGGAACAAAGCAACATCTTCCTTCCACTTCCCACCCACCCTCAAACTTAATAAAAAGAATAAAATAATAATAAAATAAATAAATAAATAAAAATAAATAACAGACAGATATACATGCAGCTAAGTTAAGTAACCAGACCACAAAAAAATAAATAAAAGAAAATAAAATAAAATAAATAAAATGACATAAAACAGGGAGGTATGCCCGATAGGAGGGATGCTCAGGGTGCCCACCTCACAGGATATAAAGAATCATTTTAGATCCAGAAAGGTAAGATTGTTTACATATGAGATGATAGGCTGCCATCTTTTGTAAAAGTTGGCAGTCGAGCCTCTGAGAGAATATTTCACCTTTTCTAATGACAGAAAGGATATTAAGTCATTCAACCAAGATATAGGAGAAGGAGGGTTAGGGCTCTTCCACTGTAACAGAATTCGTCTGTGGGCTATAAGCGAAACAAAAGCAACAACATCTGAATTTTTCCTAGTCAGGCTGGTTGGTATAGGGGGTACACCAAAAATGTCTATCAACGGACAGTGTTCCAATGTGATATTGAGGGCTTCGCCTAACGTTTTGCAAAAACAAGTCTAGAATTCGGCCAATTTTGGGCAAGAGAAAAAGCATTAAGCATTATTAGCAGTGATCTGTGTCAGACAGTTGTATAGAAAAAAAGAGCAAAGCAAATACATGTTTTAGTTCTTTGTAAGTCATTCTTTGAGTTTAAGTTATTGAATATTAGGTTATTATTAATATTTTCATGTAAACTTGTGGAAAAGTGAACCTAACAGGTTTGATTAGGAGTTCAAAAGAATCAGATTCGACAGGCAAATTCAATACTGATTTCATTTCACCCTTTATGAAGAGCTGGAAGTGATGTAATACACAACTTTAGCATGAGTCATAGGCCTTTTTTCTTGGAAGACATTTTGACATGTCACAGTATGTAATAATAAATAGGAGTTAATAATGAAGGTGGTTGAATTCTGCTTCAGTGTCAGGGTCCTGCTATTGTACATGCTTGCTCACAGCCATGGCTTACTAGAACAGAGCCATTGTTAATGTTCTCAGTAACAACTGTACTTTTAGAAGTTGCAGAAGTCAGTTTCTGCTAAAACTCTCTATCACCAGTCGCTTTCATTCCCAGTCACAGTTGTCGTTCCCCTCTCCTAACTGTTTGTGATTCACGGCAAACCTTGGGTAATCATTATTATTAGTACCTCCACCAAGGAGGTTATGCTTTTGGTTCAAAATGGGGTTTTGAGGATTGCGGAAAACTTGCTGGCGTCGTTGTCATGAAACTTGGTGGAAGAACCCATTAAATTTGGGAGTGCATCTGAATCAGGGGGCGGATACACTATTTTTTTTTCTCACTTTCATTAATATCACAAGAGTGAAGGTACTGGTAGTGAAATATGCAGAACTTGAAAAATTTGTTGCAAAAGGAGCAATACTAAGTGTCGCCTGAATATCAGGAAAGTTGCAGGCTCATTCTGGGGTACAGCTGACCCAGTGGAGCTGCTCAGTGTCCAGCAGTAGCAGACTGTGGTGGCACAGGGCAGCCGCTACATCAGTGCAGAGCAGAGCTTTTTTTTTTTTTTTTTTTTTTTTTTTAACTTTGGTAAAAAGAGAGCCATTTTTGAGTTTCAAGAAACTTATTGGCATTGCCTCCAACATCAAATTTTCATCTCAAAGTGTCATCTCCAAACAGGTGCCAAGTCATGTTTCCCTTTTCTTAATTTTTTCCGACCCTTGCGTCTCCTTTACTGTCATTCTCGATGGTGTTCTCGGTCTTCCTCTGTTTGCCTGCCTCTGTCTCACTATCTCTTTTTGAACCCCTTTCCCTTCTCAGGCTCATCCTCTATCGCTGGGTATCACTTTCCTCTCCCTGACACTCACCCGTTTCGATAGCCTGCCATCTCTCGCCCATCACTAATCCCCCCCACCTCTGTTTTTTTTTTCCTCTGTCTGTAGTTTCTCTCTCTGGCTTTGAAATCCTTCCCCTCTCGCCTCTGTTCCTCTGCTTCTGCTAATCCTTTCATTTTCTTTGTCTCTCTTTTGTCTAAAAGTCAGTTTAATTTCTCCTTCCTTTATGCCCTGCTTTTCATCTGCTTGTAGCTCTCACACTTTTCTTTCCACTGTAGTTGAACATCATTTCTATCATGCCAGCAGTACACCATAAATTACCAGACATGAAAATGTGATGTTTTACTGTAGAATAATAAAGTGTTTGTAAAGTTATGGCTTCCAATAACAGTATTAATGAATTTCATGGACCCCTGTGTCAGGAGAGAAAATTTATGTTAAAAATTAACTTCAGCTCAATTAAAAACAATCAGGCAACTCAAAATATTTGACTCATGAGGTTTCCAAGCGACAGCGGGGTCGCAGCTCCTCGGTAAGCCATGTCGACCCAGTAGAAAGGCATGCTGGGAGGCTGGCAGGCATGCGAGGCATATTGATCCACCTGTGGCATCCAGCTGTTTGTTTACCAACAACAAATCAATGCAGCACTCGGCTGGGGGCCACCATGCCTGGCCTCTGGTCTGCTGGGAGCACTCACACATACACTCTCAGACATATATAGCACACACACACACACACACACACACACACACACATATACATGCAGGCTGGACAACGGCTTTGGCAAATGCAGAGAGTTTATATGGAGTAAAGTCTTTGACCTGCACTGGAGTATTTTTTGGAGTAAGACATCAAGCAGTTGTTTGTATATACAATCTAAATTTAGGTTGATGTTTTTTTTATTTGTAAAAATGGAAAAAGCTGCATTAAAGGGATAGTTTGGATCTTTTGAAGTAGGACTGTATGAGGCACTTATCCATAGTCAGTGTATTACAGACATAAAATTTCAATTGGCACGCCCCCAGTTTGGAGAAACACACTGGATTACCGCCACAGAAGCTAAGCAATGCACCGTTGTGCCTGGGGGCAGCAGGAAAACTTATTTTAGCCACATAAAAAGGTCGCACCGAAAGAAATACCAGTTTAAGTGTATGTATAATATTTTCACTGCTTTAACTTCCTGTCAGACAGTGATTTCTGACAGGGAACTGAGACTGTTATTTCGTACTCTTCAGAGCCAGACTCCATTTCCAAAAAAAAAGTAATTTTAGCTTGCCAAACACAGGAGCTCCCGGTCCACCGCTGCCTCAACCAGCTTGTTTGTGTTATTGTGTTAGTTGGGATTCACCAAAGTCACACAATAATACAAACTAACAAGCTAGTCCGTTGGAAGGGGCTGTCTGCATCTAGGTACAGGGGTTAAACTATTCTCAATGTTGCATACGCTTAAATGGATATATATATATTTTTTTTAGGTGGCTAAAATACATTTGGCTGCTGCCCCCTGCCCACATTAGTACATCATGCTGCTTCTTCAAACTGGTGGCATGCCAACAACCATCCCCTCTATGTAAGACACTGACTGTGGATAAGTACCTCATACAACCCCACTTCAAAAGATCCAAACTATTTCTGTAATCCAAATAGTGGTTCTGATATAGAACTGCTTCGGTGATTAGCTAAACATTACTATAAGTGGGAGTTTCAGATAATTCAACTATATTTGAATGTTTCAAATAAGTGTTTCCAGTTATGATGATCTGTCTGTTGATTGATCCTGCCTTGGATCCTGGAGGATACCATTGCAAGTTCTGAGGCAAAAAGCTAAAGTGAGGCCACTAATAATGGTGTTAAAGTCAGAGTTGAATGACAGGTCTCTCTTTTTTAGTTTTCTATAATGCCATCAGATTCATGACTCAAGCCTGAGTGAAGTGACTCAAGTCCACACCTCTGCAATAATCTAATGCCAGAATCAAACTACATGATATAAGCCCTCAGAGGCAGGTGTAACATGTAACGTGTCAAAGTAGAAGATAGAGGAGGCGGTATATAAGATAGTTTGCAATAAATGTTCCTCTATGGGCCTTTAGAAAACAGATACATGTGACATATTTTCATAGTATTTTTTCATATTTTTATTGTAATTTTTCTATTCTTTATATATGTTTCTTTCTCTTCTCTCTTCTTTCTCTCTATTTCCATTTCCTCTTAATAAAGTTTATTGTATGTTAAACCCTGCTTGGCAAAAAACCTTATTCTGATTCTGATAAAAAGACACACACACACACACAAACACACCAAACATTCAAAGTCACAAATCACATTCATAAAATGCAAACAGTGATACAATAAAATTACCATAAAACTTAATGACACCGTATCACTCATAGCTAAATGACTGATCTCTCTTTAAAAACTGTTTCAGCTTGAGTTGAAAATGATTCAAGTCATGATCCACTTTGAGATCTGTAAGTAAGGAGTGCCACATGTTGATCCCCTGAACAGAGAGAGATGCCAAAATAAGGATTCACAACAAGGCACTCTATAGTTTCCCATAGATGCACGCTGAGAAGGAACCACGGAGCATCTGAGGAATCGAATATTGGCAAATTTATTGAAAAGATCAAAATTTGCTATTTAGTTTTTTAAGAATATGGTGGCAGTGGAATTATGTATCATTTAAAGGCACTATTGTTGTAGAAACTGCTTATGACCAAGAAGTTATACAGTAACTTTGGTTTCAACCTGAGGTAGAACCATATTTGTGTCAGGAATAGTTTACTGAGCAGTGTGTAATAATTTACTACATTAAACCAAATGATAACACCCGGCATTTTTGTTATTTCCTCTTTTTTTTCTTAATGAATTCAGTCCACACAAGTAAGTTTTCCACATAACTCAGTGTGGGGTTTTTTTTTTGGTGAAATGATGCCCCTGCTTATGTTTATTTCCAGGTGACTGACCACAAAGGCACAGTGAGGAGCTGTACGAGGTCGAGTGACAAGGAAGCATCCGGAGCCTTGCTCAGTGTTCAGCTCATCCTCTACGGCACCTACCACCCACACAGGACCACACACGGTATGTGAGAGTGTCAACCACACACATGCAAACTAAGGTGAGAATGGAGGCAGGGTTACTGTAGAGGTTAAACACATGCTCTGAGTTTACTTTGTTTACTTTTTAAAAACAACACCCACTGAATTATTCTGTTGAATAAAAAGCAGAAAATGGAAAAATTAAACAAGTATTTTAAGAGAAACTTCTAATGTTCTAAAGTTTTCCTCAAGTGTAGAGCAGAAATGTCCCAACCCCGCACTTCCACCTGCACCTGCCATCTCTGCTTCTTTGGCTGAGGCAGTGTAGTCAGTGGAAGTCAGCCGGGCCACTGACCACAGGGACTGTGATGTGTAATTACAGCGTGACCCCTGGCTACCCTCTCCCCAATCCCACCCCCTCCTCAACGATGTGTGTCAGCTCCCCCGGTGCCCACAACCTCCACACACACACACACACACACCTTGTTAGCCATACCGGCACGAAGCCACAGCACCGTCCTCCGTGTCCCTGTCGGGGGTTTTAGGGTTGTTAAAATCACCGAGGCATGCTGGGAGAGAGACATTGAACCAGACTTTCCTGTTGATCTCTGTCAACGGGAGTTCCCACCGGTCAAGGAGGTCCTGGAATATCATGGACTTTTGAAAGATAGTCAGGGAAAGTCAAGGACCTTAACAAATTTACTGTTCAGGCTAGGAAATTTAACATATGGATACATTTGACAGTTTGTCTGTTCTTTATCAGCATTAAAACCTAGATTTTAACCAATCTTTAACAAAACCAGGTGACAGGGAAAGAAGGAGGAATGCTTTTAGGGCACAGAAGTACTCCAGCTCAGTTCTGGAAACCTGGAAAGAGATGGAAAGGTCATGGAATTTCACCAGAGGGCCACAGTGGGAACCCTCTCTATCTGTGTGTCTCTGTGTGTCTCTGTGTGTCTGTGTGTGCGTGTGGAGCGTGTGCGCGTCTTGCTCTGTTGCTCTCTCGTCTCTTTCTGTCAAGATGCTGATCTCTCTGTTGAGAAATCAATGCTCTCCCTCCTCCTCCTCTCCCTCTCTCTCCATCCATCCATGTATCCCTCCCCGTGCTCCTGGATCTAACCCAAGTTCAAGCTGTTAGTCAATCTGCTGTCCACACACACACACACACACACACACACACACACACACACAGACTACTCATTCACAGGTTCTTATAGTGTTGCTATTCCTCGATATTTTCCCCAATGACATCACTCTGTAGTTTGCCAGGTCTGAACTTCACACCGTCACTTAATGATTATAATTTCCTGACAAGGTCCTGTTATGCTGTATGTAGAATATATTTGAATACTACTTTACTATTTTAATATTGTTAAATATATCAATATGTAAGAAAATTATTTAAAATGTTCGAAAACAGGTTCATTCTCCTTTTTACAGAGGCTTTGATGAGGAGATTGATACCACTCTCATATCTGTACACTGAATATGAAGTCAGAGCCAGAGGGTGCTGAGCTTGGCTTAGATAAAAACTCGAGATGCTTGGAGGCTGACTTTTTACCTTTGGACAGAGCTAGGTCAGCTGTAATGCTAGCTAAGCTAACTGTCTCCAACCTCTAGTTTCCAGGTTTCCCATGGTCATGTAAAATCTGAAAAAGTCATGGATTTTCACAGTCACATTTCCAGGCCTGGAAAAGTCATTGAATTAGTAAAAATCATTAAAAGTTGTGGAAAAGTCATGGAATATGGTTGTGTATGATTACATGTTTGCAGTAGTTTTCAGTGGATAACCTTCCATATAATGTAACATAACAGCAAATTTATTTTCTGAAGCTGTCAACTTAACGAAGTGTGACATTTTTTTCTTCATTTTACCCCAGAGTTCCATCTCTTCCTCATGTATGTCAGCTATAGCTGAAATTATGTTTTTATAGAGCTTGAATCTGATATGTTTAAAAAATGCTGGGCAGTTAGGGCAAGACATAGAATATATTATGAGTCCTTGAAAAGTCGTAGAAAAGTTTTGAAATTTTGTCCATGAAAATGTGAGGGAACCCTGAGTTCCAGACGTGAGAGTGGTATCAATCTCCTACTCATCTTGGCAATATAGTAAATATGTGTTTTTTATTTTTACATCATATTTCATGAGTTAGAGAGACCAAACTCCGGATGGAGCCACATAAACTATCTGGCCACACGTATTTGGAGACCTGAACAGAGTATGTGCAGTATGGCACCTGTATATTACACCTATATGTGTTTGTCAAACATGTAATTCCAAATCGTGGACTTTTCATCAGAGTTTGGAATCATGCTGCAGGGATTTGCTCCCATTCAGCCACAAGAGCACAGTGTCACTTAAGATTGCTTATCTTTTAACTTCAGAACTTACATTTCGAGCACCTGTGAATGTCAGAATTTCACCTGGGTATCAGAAAAAAAATCACGCTTACTGTCCAGAAAGTTTTAGTGTTAATAAAGGATCTGTGGGGTGATTTAATGATTTCTGTTCTGCTCACAGTCAACTTTGTGATTATCACAGAGTACACACACATCCCAGTGGGAGTAGAAATCACCATGTAAAAAAATATATACTGATTTTCTGTGACTTGTGGTGTACTCTGTCAAAGTCCTGGCACATCTGTAGTTCACTGAAATAAAAACAAAGCAGTACAGGTGCTGATTTATTTAGTGTACCCAGCTAAAACTAATGCAGTCTACAACAGCAGTGACAGTAGGTCATACTGTTCAGTTTTTGTTGAAACCTTTAGAGAGACTTTTGTCGACCTATGTATGTTAATTTGGGCGGACAAAATATTAGGAACACCACTCATTATAATGCAGTGATTCTCAAACTTTTTCTGTCATGCCCCACTTTCAATGCCGAAGAAGATTATGTGCACTCCACAATTTTTTTTTATCATTTATTAACATTAATTGGAGAAGCACGTAATTAACAAGGATCCATACTGAATTTTTAAAATAAAGGTCATCATGTTGCATCAGCTAATTCTTCTTCGTTTATTTTCCCTGCTTACATCATATTGATTCAACTTTTCTCCTGGTCTTCCACACCCCACCTGCAGTGGCTCTATGTCCACCCCAGGGGCGCCCGCCCACAGTTTGAGAACCATTGGTATAATGTAATACAATTAAACAGCAGCACAAACCGCAGCCTCCAAAATGATCATTCAGTTTTATTGACACCTCTTTAAAACACTTTCAACAAACACTGACCAACACAACCTTCATGAAGGAAGGATTTAATGACAGTTGCTTGTATTATACTGTATTTGTTATAGTTAGGTATACTTAATAAAGCGTACATGCTGTGTGACCTGAAACGAAGTTAAACAGAATTCTGAAGGGGATCAAATCACCAATTTTCGTGAAAAAAAAACACAGGAACAATTAAATAAATTTTGGGTTTATTGTTGGAAAATATGTTTCTCTTTTCTGTTACTTTAACAGTTGACATAATACATGCCAAATCACATGGGCCTGTTACATAATGGCAACTGACTGGTGATTTTGATGGCTATGATCTCATCATCAAGAAGGTGCCAAATTTCCTTATGTACTTTTGTCTACCTTAAAGTGAAGTCAGCTGCATTTACAGCACAGAAACTTTGGTACTCAGGATATCATTTATAATGTATTAGACGTGTTTGTAAATGTAATTGTTTATAGAGCTACATTAAATCAGCAGTCCATTTATAATGCACTCTTCCAACATGCTCCATCTCTCATATAGGCCAGATAGCCAGCAGACACCAAAGACTGAGCTCTACTCTCATGATGTGTAGGATGAAGCTCCATTTCCAGCCTGGGTGTCTTTTATGATCCGGCCTCGTCCATGTGTGTGTTTGTGTGTGTTTCTGCATCTCTGTACGTGTGTTTGCCCCTGTGTGTGTTTGTTTGGTGGCTGTGCAGCAAGTGAAGGTAAATTGCTGTGATTATGTGGCAGTAATTGAACAGGGATGGTGTGTTTAATTGAGTTGTTGTTTCCTGATGTTTCTCTGTAGTAGCAGGAGCCGCCGCGCTGACAGGTGCCTCGTCTCGCCTCGCTGAGATGAGAGGGTTTTTTTCTATATACCATCATGTAGGCTTTGTTGTGTCTTTTTTAAGCCATGTTTCTGTGTGTTTTGGCTTAATGGCGTTTGTTTGGTTGAAGGGTGTGTGTGTGTGTGTGTGTGTGTGTTTGTGTGTGTGTGTGTGTGTGTGTGTGTGTGTGTGTGTGTGGGTTTTACTGTTTCACCAGATAGTAGGAAGCATGGGGTTTGTGAGATGGTTCTCTGAGCTCTGACAAGTTGTTTATAAGGATGTATAGTAACTTAAATATATGTGTTTTTGTGTCTTCCTGTCTGTCAAAGTGTGTGTGTGTGTGTGTGTGTGTGTCTGTGTGTGTGTATGCAGGCTTACCTGCATGTATGTGTCGATATATGCATGATGTGCTTCTTACATGTCTGTGAGTTTGTCCACAGAATGTATGTGTTTGCATGCTTGTGTGCATGTGTTTGTGTTTACATGTACTCTATATCTGTGTGTGTGTGTGTGTGTGAGAGAGAGAGAGAGAGAGAGAGAGAGAGATTGTGTGCGCATGTGGCTCTATCTGATCTGCCTCCTGGGCTCTATGGCCCAAATCAAATGGTAGGAAACATCAATTTCACCATGCTCTCTCTTCCTCCTCCCTCTCCTCCTCTCTCCTTGTATTATTTCTTCTCTCCTCTTGCTCCCCCCTCAGCTCCTCACTCCTTCTCTCCTTCGCTCCTCCCCTGATCGGTGTCTTGCTCTTTGCCGAGGTGTGATTACGTTCCTCCTCTGAGCACCAGTGATCTAAGGGGTTCAGTGTGTGCGTCTATATGTGTGCATCTGGGTGTGTTTGGTGACTGGTTGGTGATCTGAGCAGCCCGCCGCTGCGTATTGTGCGGCGCAATTCACGGACGACGTCTCCAGATGAATGCCTCCATTCACAATTACAGCCTCTCCATTAGCTGCAGCCCTCGCCGCCTTGTTGTTGTCTTTCTTCTTCTCTGCAAAAAAAAAAAAAAAAGCAATTAAAGCAGGACAAAAACAAGCTGGAACACAAGCAGTGTACCTGGAAAAGAAAAAAAACAGCAAGGGAAGGGGTGTGGGAGTGTGTGTGTGTGTGTGTGTGTGTGTGGGGCGGTGATTCTTCAGTCGGAGTTCAGACTACACACTATCTCTGTTTTATTCTCGAGAAAATCCTCCTGGATTTATTTGAACATTCATGCATGAATGCAATCTCCTCTAAGAGACCCACACAACTATTCAATGTCGGGTATATATTTTTGATTTTCTCGTTGTACTGCAAGTGTGCCTGTCTTACAGTTTGATTCTTAAAAGGATCAGATTACTTCAAGTGTAGAAAGCTGAGGACAAACCCTCTAAAGTGAGGTCATTTTGGTGCTCATGGTCTTGAAGGGGCTAGTGTAGGATTAAAACTTTGATTTATGGTTAAGGTAAAACATAAGATTAGTTCTGTGATTCAGTTTTTTTTTTCTTTCAGCCCACAGTATTACACTTTAGAGAATGTGATACACAATGAGGGAATGGCGGCATCTCCATACAAAGTCATTTTTTAATCAAAATGTAACATTAGAAAGGCTGAATGAATATGGCAAATGCATTTTATATGATAAAAGTGTTGTACCACACAGCAGAAATTTAGCAATGAATTGAATTTGAAACACATTTTTCTAATTATTAAAGATTTCGCTTTAAAATGTCTGAATTTTGTTAAAAATGTCCTGAAATATTTGTTTATCACAACCTTTTATAAGGTGGAGTTCCCTGTTTGTTATGCATGCGTACAAGATGCTGTCATGTTTGAATTGCCACAACTGGTTTTTCATTAAACTAACAAGTTCACTTCTTTTTTTGTGGTCATTTTATTTCACATCTTATTGTGACCTCTTTACAATAAAAGCTAAGTTCTGTTAATATAATGCCTTCAGTGTAAAGAAGCAGCAGTGGGAAACATTTGGTTGGCATTAGCAAAAAGTATTAAGTCACAGTTCAGCTCAGATATGGCTGAAGAAGGATGGATAGCACTGAGATAAAACAAATTTTGCTGCCAGTCCCTCATGGTGGAAATGGCAGGAATGGCGGACTCCATCACTACCAACAAAAACTACCATATAGAGGGTAAATTGCAGAAATAAAAAACATTGAACAGCTTCTGCTGATCATAAATAGTATTAAAAACAGGAATTGATTTCTCAAAAGGATTGTAACTTAAAGTACTGTATACGCAGCAAAATCCCGCAAAACTATTTTTTTATTGCTCTAGCAAAGTAAATGTATTAAGAGACATATCTTTGGCAACATTTCAAACATTTGTGCAAAATTGACTTGACATTTGGATAGAAATGTAGCTACTGAGGCAGATAGTGCCATGCACCGCTTTAACAGCAGTTCTGTGCTTTCTTTTTTTTTTTTTCTCCAGAGGAACCCCTGCAGAGCATTGTGTCCATGGGGTCGCGTCACCCCGTCCCTCACAGGGATGTGTATCAGAGGGACCGTTACCCACCTCTCGACCTGATTCAATGGGTCTACCAAATGGAGAGAGACAGGAAGGTACAGGCTGCTGATATCACTGTTCCGGCCAGACGCAAGGTACGGTACTGTACACAGTGCGGGAACACGCATGTTTCACACATCACACACACTGTGATTTACTATTCCAATAAATCACTGGCGCCGCCTAATTTCCTATGGATTTCAATTTCCCCCTGGACATATCTGCATTGATCAACTTCAGGTGTAAGGATGTGCCAGGCGTCGCTCACTGTGACACTGAAGAATGGCTTACAGATCTCTGCCATACGTGTGTGTCTGTGTGTCTGCGTGTGTGTGTGTAAGGGTACGACAGTGGGATTTGTGCACATGCAGCATTTCTGTTCAACGCTGTCGTCACCGCCGAGGCTTTAGGATACAAATCCTCGAGTCTGAGTAATAACATCTGAAAATGTCAGAATCATACAAACGGAGACAGTTGAATGGGGACTTGAGATATTGTTATTCTGATCATATCTGCTCGTACTGAGTCTAGGCCTGATTATGAGGAACAATTAAATATCATTCTGGCTTCACCAGCAGTTGTTACTGCAGAAAGAAGAGCAGGGTATAACTCCTCTTTGAAATTAGAGGACATTTTGTGGTCTACTGAATCATCTTTCAGCACAGTGTCTGAACTGAAACAAATATAATTCCCTTTCAGACTAATAATGCATTATCCTCTCACAATCATTGAAGCCTTCAATCTGTGTCCTTTACGCTGCATTATGAGGCCAATTACAGCTCTGATAAAAGTGTGCTGCTGGACAACAGGTAGCGCTGTTTGTGTGCATGCTGCTGCCTGACATGTCCTTGTAGGGGTACACAGTCCCCGGGCCTGTAGATGAGTTTTGAGCCGGTCTTAGGAGGCAACGACGAGCCCTGACAACGTCTTTACCCCGAGTTCCTCCCCTAGAGGCAGATCTGAATGGATCGTAGAGGCAAGGAGGAGAAATAAATTGGAGAAAAGGATAAATCGATGCTTGGCGGAGAGGCAAACAGACCTTCCAACCCCCGGCCCAGACACACACACATATACACACACGTAGCACGGCGTGGCTTTTTTTCCTTGGGCTGTATTGGATTGGTATGCAGAGCCGAGGAGAGAGACGCTCAGAAAAAGACTTGGCCTACAAATGATGTCCTTTGTTTGATCCACTAGGTTGGGAGGGGGGGTTGGTTGGTTGGTGGGTGGATGGGGAGGGTCGTCCCACAGAGATGGTGGAAGGGCTGGGAAACAAACATCTCTGTCTGTGAGCCTCTCTCTCCCTTTCTCTCTCTCTCGCTCTCGCTCTCTCCCTCACTAACAGCTTCTCATCTAAGGGAGGAGAGAGATCAGCTCCGGGAAAAGCTGGTTGTCATCTGTTTCTGTTGATGACTTAGAGGACAGAGAGGATATGGTGTAGGTGTGTGCATTCCAGTGCTTGGATATATGCTAAATCTGCCAGCTTTTAACCTGAGGGATATTAATGGTTTATCACCACATGGGTCTTTGTTGTTTTCTGTAGTTTTGGTCATCATTTTAAAGCGTAATAAATAAAACTGATTTGGAACATGGTGACATCTATAAAAAAATAGCAAATCAGACAGATTTGATATGTTATCATCACCCAAAACTACAAAAATACAGCCCACAATTATCCTTTATGACTCATTTGGGCCTCATGCAACAACATTTTCGTGTTCTTACCCTAAACGTCTGCGAGGCTTACATACGATGTTTCAAGTCAGATTCACCAAACTCTCCTAACTGCACAGACTTGACATAAATTGCTTGTTTGAACTTAATGAATGCCACCTGTTCATGAGGTTTTGATCATTAGAATCAACGCTTTATAAGGCTGCCTGTTCCACTTTATTCTTGAGGAAGTTCAATTCACAAGAATCTCAAGCAAAAGTTAGAAGAAAAACTTAATATTGCGAAGCTCGAAGCCCTGTTGTTGAAAATCAACAGAAAAAAAAACAAATGAAGTAGTGTCAGTGTTGGTGTTAGAGGATCAGAAAATATGGGGAATACATCTGCGGCTGTCGACGCTGTGACATGGCACAGAGGATACGGCAGCACAAAAATTAAGAGATTGGTTTGATGTAAAGTCAGACGGCAAAAAACAAAGTCTGTGATCAAAAAGGAGTAAATGTGACAGTGAAGGATTAATGACTCCATTATAGGTGATGTTACTTGCATAAAGACCTATGGATTTTTATACTGAATTGAATAAGTCTTGTTAAGTCTCTGGTACCAAAATTGAGTTGAGTTGAGCTGAACCATGAGGTGAAGAAGGGATTTAGTTGGTGAGTCCACATGCACACACACACAGTGACAGGGCTAACTGTTAGCATCACACAGCTAACGCAACCTAATAGTTATTAACAGGTTTAATGACTGAATCGAGCCATTTTGGTGTCTGCGTGAGTTTGTTGGGACCCTTTAGTCGCTTGGTGTCCAATGTTAGCTGCTGCTGCTGCTGTGTTAGCTCGTGCTAACTGGGCAGAGCGTCTCTGAGACTTTCCTCCAGTGCTGCGTGTAGCCTGTGTAACAGAAATACTGAATCTTATAAACATAACCTCAAATATTAAATGTGTTGAAGTTAGTATGCTGTTTGTCAGGCATTGTCTCGGTTTCAGGGCCTTTCTGAACATTCATTGTTGATTCCTACCGAATTATTGCATACGAAAGCAAAATATCATTTTATTTTTGGAAAGCAGTTGTGCAGATTTACTTTATTTTGATGGAAACGTAGCTAGCAAGGCAGGTGGTGCTGTACAACACTTTAACCGCAGTTCTGAGCTACTCACAGTGAGTTGTAACAACTGTACTTTGTGTTTAGTGCTAATTATTGAAGGGATGAACATGTTAATACCTACTAAACATCTGCAGGTTAGCATGCTGACATTAGCATTTAGCTCAAATGCATTACAGCCTCACAGAGCTGCTAGCGTGGCTGTAGACTCTGACAATTCTATTTTTGCTTTAGTTCATTTTGGAAAAATATTTAGACTCTAAACTCATTCAGACTAGGGCATTCAAATTCTTAAGTCAGATAAGTGTTTCTCCCCTGTGGAGAAAGGCAGACTGTCTCTACATGACTCATACAACAGGCCCGGACCACTGCTCAGACAAGTGGTTCTTACACAGAGTTTCATTAAGTCAGACCAACTTCAGTCTCAAAATAAATTTTTAAAATGCTCTTAAAAAAATTCAACCCTGACTCCAATTATTTATGCTCAGGATTTTGCTCCATCACCGCTTACCTTGTCTACACTCCACCACACTATTTCTATTTCTCCTATTTCTGGGACATACACTATTCTCAGCTCTCCACCAACAACAGCATACGATGCCATTTTATTTTAGCTTGGGAGTTCTCTTTTCGCTCCATGTCTTTTTATAGTTTTGCTGTTCATACTGTACTCCCCGCTGTGCTTCTATTTTCATGAATGCTGTGAGAAATAATTGAAAGCGCCGTGTACGGTGCCGTCTGTTGCAGCGCTCCCACTTCCTCATGCCTTGTAAATACTGTATCACTGAAGCCCCCGCTGTAAGCTGCCGGCTCGGGATTCCTTACAACTCTGAGACGTCAACACTCACTGAAAACTTGAGCCAAGATCAAATCGTAACCAGAGTCGGAAACGTCGCTCCCGTGGACAGAGCCAGTTTTTGATTGATTTCAAATTCAGCTGTTTGTCCTTGTCTTTTTCCTTGAGAAAACAGGGTTGAATCAGATTACTTCTGGTGCTTTTTTTTTTTTAAACTCATGACATCCGTGAGGAGGGGGAAAGGATGTCGAAGGAGTCACAACCCCTGCTGCAAGTGGTGCTGGTGTGAACTGCAACAGATGGAGGACCTCAAGGAGTCCTAACAAGAACAAATAGTGTACCACAACAACTATAAATAAATCATGGCATATTAGAATCGGATTAAAGGGCCATTCCACAGATTTTTACACATAGATGTAAAGGTCAGATTACTTGTCATCGCCACTTAGCCTGTGCAAGCTGCTGTGTAATGTCTCCTGTAGACAGAATACTCTGAAGGAAATTTGGGAGAAAACAACCCCCGACAATGTCATAAGGTTTCTTTATGCAGATTTGCAATTTTTAACAGAAAAGGCTATGTTACAAATCAGTAACCTCTGGGCATGGAAGTTGAAAGCCACGGGTGTTGTACAGAAGGCGGGATGAATGAAAAGGTTCTATTGGTTGCATTATGGGAAATGTAGTACCTAGTGTTCTGGAGCTTGCCCTATACTAGGTACTAGAAGTCAGCATATCCTGACCTCTGCTGCTTTGATTTTGACAATTCTTTTTAAAATCTGTCTCTTTAGAGTCCCCCACCTTAATGCAAGTTGAACTGCAGTGACTCCTCTTTTGTGATCCTGGGTGTCATTCTTAGGAACAGGATGTGGTCCATGACTCTGCACTATCCTGCCATTTATTTGTCTTTAACATCAAATATCTGTTCCAGATGTCGAAGATTTCTGGAGACTTAGCATTGAATAAACAGACAGGCAACAAGCCCCTGGCGTCCAGTGTGGCTTTCCAGGTAAGCTTCAGCACCACAAGTCCAGATACTGCAGTCAAGTTTCCATCCAGATAACTGGTAGAAGAAAATGTAAAGTAATGCACGCCTTCATCCACTATGCTGTTGTGTGAATATTAGGAGGTAGTTCATCAACATTAACATTTGGTGGCTGAAATTCTCTTGAGCCACATCTTTTTTTTCAGATGTACTGCATTTCCACTCTGACTTTTTGTGCGTAAATTAAAAATGTGCATAAAAACATCTGGATGGGAATGCACTTACTGATTGTTTTCGACTGTGGAAGAGATGAAAGGAAACAATGTGATTCTGTAAATGAGATAAATGTGTGTTTTCATGCTACCCCATTTGGTCACCACCACTGTATTTCTTACAGGCTGCTGTTACATCTAAAACAATTCATCAATTAACTGATTAGCTGACTGACATTTTTTTATAATCAGTTAATCCTTTCATCCTGTCTTTTTTTTTCATGCAAAAACAACAACCATTCCCTGATTCCAGCCTCTCAATTGTGAGGTCTGTCTTTACCTTATGTGATAACTAATTGAGCATCTTTAGGTTTCAGATTGTTGGTTAGACCAAACAAAGAATTTGATTAACTGATGTTGAAAGTAATAGTTGCAGCCCTGGTGGCTTTTACTGTATGCTACTACAATAATTTCCTGTAGGTGAAGTTTTCTCATGTCACACACTCATATTCCTGTCATTCTATATCCAACAGTTACAGCAGACAGATGTTGTACAGAAGTCCTCCATGGGGTCAAGACTTTCTGCTGTGCAGGAGCTTCATGAGCCAAAGACCATCAGGGACAATGTGGACAGAGAGCACAGGCCCTTACCATCACAGGTTCTCCAGGATGTTGTCAACAGGCAGACTCGTCAGATCCAGGAGGAGGAGAAATTGTGAGCAGAGAGTCAGGAGAAGGGACAGGGCATTGGGCAGGAAACTGAAGAAAAAAAAATATGAACCACGGGTAAATAAAGACTGTTATTTTCCACTGTGCAGAAAGCTAACTGATCATGAATCAATTCCATGTACAGTACGTTGACTGTGTGGCCTCAGTGTTGGCACAGATTATTTATTGTGGATTCCTAGCTTGGCTTTAAAACTCAATCACTCTCCACAGAAACACACACAAACATATAAATCTTTCTGCAAAAACAAATAGTCTCAGGAGCAGGTCCCTACACTCATCCCCCCCTCCTTTGCTTTGCTTTCAGATGTTGCAAAGGTTAGTGAAAGATATGTTTGTCTTTTTCCACTTCATTGAAGGGTGAATTCAGCTCAGTGCAATAAGAAATGGATTATCCATTCATTAAAGGGGCTGTGTCACTCCTCATTGAGTTGGACAAATAGCAAATTAATTTCTAGCCGCCTAATTTCTCTCTGTTCTCCACTGAATTTCCGATATCGTCGAATTACTGATCACAGCCATGTGAACTCCCTCAACTTTTTATCAATTCATTAAAAATGTGCCACAGCGGAGATGCTACAGAGGAAAAATTCTCTCTCTTATTTCTGCATGCTTCCTTTACCACCGCAATGCTGTATACAAACAGAAATCAACTGGAGTGTTTAATTGAAATTAGGATATTAAAAACACCAGAAACCGTTACAGACCGTGTTGAGAAAAGTTACTTTGTTGCCATTTTGGAGTCAGACAGAAACTTTTAACCGGTGCATCTCACTGTGAAACAAAGATGTCAGTGTTTCCGAGTCAAGTGCAGGTCTGTAGGTAATGGTGTTTTGTAAAGTAGCAGTAGTGTATTGACAGGGCAGTATTGATGTTTCAATTAGAGCAGCGTTACATAGTGCCGCAGCATGGTAACACGGTGCGTCTCCTGCCATCTGCTCTGCCTCCACGTCTGACGAACGAGGCACGTGGGGCTAATCGAGCCGCACATGAGCAATGGGACTGCGAGATCTATCACACATACACACACACACACACACGCACACACACTCGTCCTATACGCACGTCCTTATGCAGAAAAATGGGGGGAAAGACGAGGGAGAGCTCCTCAGCCCTGCTGTTTAAACAGCCTTCGGAAAGCCTGTGATTCCTCCCCTTCTCCCTTCACGTGTGCCACAGGAGCAGCCAGCAGGTTATTTCTCTGACAAGGAAACAGGCAAACACACCAGATGCACGAGTTAAAATTCTTCAAAAGCTCATCTGACGGGAAGACAAAAAAAGGGAACGGCTTCTGCCAGGTTTTCTCGTGCTGGGACGGTCTGAAATAACAGTGTGCATTATGCCTGGCGTTATTGCCTGCCAAACCACACGAATCAAAGACCTCATTGTGTGGATTACCTCGTTAATCTGTTGATGCCATTGAGTAGTATTGCAGGTGTTAATGTGCCAGGTTTTTTTTCTCTCTCTCTCTTCTCTTATTAGGGAGGTGTAGCGTTAGGTTGGTAATCTGCTTTAAATGCTTTCTGGGGAATGAGACACGCTGAAACCCAGCCAAGAGAACTCTGCTATCGTGAAGAGCTTTCTCTTAATACAGCACACAGAGGGGACTGACTGACTGAGGCTGCGGCGCCGATGCCAACGGGGACGAGCTAGTGAGCTACACGCCCCACGCCACTTGTTGGAATATATGACTGTATGAATAATGAAAGAGGAAGAGGAAAGTGATATTGCTAAAGCAGTCCCACAATGACATCCATCACAGAAATGGCTCATTGCTCTTCTTCCTCTGTTTCCTCCTGCAAAAACTCCCCAAGTTGTGTCTCTTTGGAGGAGCTAACCAAAGCTCAGCTCTGTGCCTGCATGAGCTGATTTAGAGGTGAACTCCTAAACCAAAAGAGAAAGAAAGATAAAGAGACAGACAGAGAGAAAGACAGAGGGAAGGGGACAGAAAGAGAGGTAATCCTCCCTTTTTTCTGCTCCCCAGGGTGGTCTCTTCATCCAGGGCCTCAAAGAGGGGCAGAATACACCTCCCCGCTACAATGGAGGGGACCCACAGGGGCTGTTGCTATCTGAGTGTGTGCGAGTCTATGTGTGTGTGTGTGTGTGTGTGTGTGTGTGTGGGTGCAGCTTTAAGCAGGCCTTTGAGTGGCCTAATTGCATTGGAATACAGCAGTCTGAGAGCTGGCTCAGATCACGGCGGGCTGCTGGAGGGGTTAGCGCCCGCACCTCGACAGCCACACTCAGCAAAAGAGCCCCGGCACAATGCACACAATTAATGCTCTCCCTCTCGTTAACTCTCTCCCCACTTTTTGTCCTCTTCTACTTTTCTCTCATTCTCCTCCTTCTCACCCCGTATCTTACTCTGTCTCCTCTCCTCTCTCTTGTTCCTCCCTCCCGACCCAGTGTGTAGTCACTCACCCACTGTATTAATCCTCCCATACAGCCTGTCAATCTCCCTCTCTTTGATGCACACAACAATTACAGTAAGGATGAAAGGCGTGGGTCGGCTCCCGTTATGTAAGACTTGAAACGAGCCTTGACGAGAATTATTGATATCTGAACAGCTAATCTGAAATAAAACCTCGACAACATGACATCTCTGTTATTACTTTGCAGCAATTGATCTGCACTTGATTAAAAAGTATTGAATGTTTAGTCTTTTACTGTATACTCCACGATGCAAGTTACTTTGTTATAACCCAGGATATCTTTAATTTCGAAAATACATTCGTGTTTATTAAAGAAAATTTGTTCTGATTTTGTATCTGGTCTGGTATGAGCCAAACAAGTCAAAGTTGTGGCAGGTGGTAGAAGCCAAGCAACGAAATACTCAATTAGTGATGATTGTTCCCTTAAGACAAGACTGTAATAAACCAATTATGCTCCAACAGGGACTATTTTATGTCTTTGTGGCACTAAATGCTAAGTTGGTAAACATCTTACTGTACCTCATTGGATTATATCTCCAACTGTAATAGTCCTGATATCATAACAGTATTCAATAGGAGCACATACCTACCCATATACATAGTTAGAGGTGAAACAATTAGTTGATTGACAGGTAATTTATATGCAAGTCTTTTTAGGTAAAAAAAAAAAAAAAAAACAAGCCTCCCAAATGTGTAAAAATTTGCTGTTTTTTTTTTTCAACTTCTATGATAATAAACTGAATATTTTTGGGTTTTGGACTGTTGGTTTGATAAAACAAGCAGTTTAAAGATCCCCTCCAGACATGTTTTAAACACAAAAATATTGCTCTGAATAATAATTTGTGTCCCATATGGTTTTTACAAACACACAAAAACAAACAAAAAATTGAAATTACGTCTACTCCTTCATCATTGGAAAAGTATCTATGAATATGTAAATGCGCTTTATTTACACACTTTAACTATTAGACACAAGATGTCTCCTATCTACTGAAAAGTCCATTCTCAGTGTATGTACATGGGAGGCTCCAGTTTCCACTTCGCACTTGTAAATTTGGAACATGATTGGCTCCAGACTAGTTGTGATGTCACAAAATCCTGCTGGTACACTCAGGTGTTACACTGAAGATGAGCTCGGAGAAACGTCTCTACAGCAGATGAACTTTAAAACAGCTTGCTAGTGTCACACTCGGCACAGTCAAGCTCCAACATCACAGTCAAGTAACAATAAGCAAAACAAATTTTTAACTGGAGGGGGACTTTAAATATGTCATCTTGGGTTCTAGGAAATTGTGATTGGCAAATTTCACTGGTTATATGACAAAAATGATTAGTTGCAGCCTTACCTACAGTAATGTTGTATAGCATTGTTGTAAAGTTATCACACATGTGCTATATCTCCGTAAGAAGGAGTTGAGACCACAAGTTACTGTATATTTCTCCTCCTGTAGACAGTGGCCAGTTTATTAAATAGGTTAATATAGTTACACAGATGGATCCCAGCCTCTTTCCCTCCAGTTTGGACTCAACTGTCCTTGTCTTTAAATGGGGCTCAGTGGACTGTGTGTGTGTGGAACAACCAATGATTTTAAAAACATATCATATTTAACCAGCCCCTCCTTTGATTTTCTTTATTACACGAGCCGTGTCTTAATAAAATCTAATTATTTCCGCTCACAGGACGCTTTCTGGTGAGAAATTGGCAGAGGGATGTGAGCTGATGTATGGGGAGACAGTCGCCTAATTAGAGCGTTAGAAATTGAATCTTTACAGCACATGGGTCATATAATTATCCTACTGTTAATTTAACGCTTACATTCTCTGCTGTTCATTTTTATTCCCTTAAACGTAGTTTGGCAGCGGCCCTCGCTGCTCTGCGCTGTGTTTTTACTGTACGAGAGGAGGCAGCATGGCCCCTAACATTGGCCCCTCTGAGTGATTGAATAACTGAGGACCCTGCAGTCCAAATAACAAGGCTCGCATCATTTATGCATTGTTAAGCCATGTAATTGAAACGAGCCATAGTTTGCATATTACACCATTAAAATAATGTGCTTTGCGTTTCTCCCAACACGACTATTTAAGCCTGTGTGGCGATGTGGTAATTCCTTGAATTACAGCCTAATTACCACAATGTTCTTTTGATTTGGCCGATTTCAATGTTACGCCACAATAATGTTCAATATTACCAGAATGAATTACTGAGCCGTGCCTGGAAACTTTTCCTCGTATGACTTAAATCCTGGCAGCTTCATGTGCTATCAGTGCAGCTGGATTCACATCCATAAAGGATTATTAGCCTATGAAATGAGACCCATTAAAGGCCCAATCAGTAATACTTAATTGAAGAGCTCGAGTTACACATGGAATAGGAGCATTTTGTGTTCGACTGATCATCATAGGCCTGCGTTATATCACTGTTTACAGATATTATTAATGTAAACAGACCAACAAAATCAGAAAACATCACAGACGTCTAATTACTGTTGTTTATCCTTGCAAAAGTGACTTTTCTAATAATTACAAGTCATAACAATTTCTAATTGTATTTGAAATATTACTACATTTTGGTTGCACATTGTGTCTTTAAAGGATGAATATAACAAACTATGCATCAGATATACAACTTTGTGTCCCTAAATTTATTTCAGCATAATCACATTTTATATTTCATTCATCTTTGTAACATCAGAGATTAACAATGTGTATTTTGGCCACTAAAGCAGCATCAAGACAAAGGAAAAGTTGAAGAACAACTTAAATCAGTGTGCACCAGTTCAGGTCATATAAAGCAGGGAACAGAGAATATTTTATAATTAGCACTTGCCCTTTGTTGCATGTCCCTGTATTGTTCTCAGGCCTCAGTCTACACACATGACATGTGTCTTTGTGTGAACTTTTCGAATAAATTAACATTGCTAAGAATGATTTGTGAGAGTGCATATTCACTGTGTGGACTTTTCTGTTTTTACTGCACAGTTTGAATTTTTTTTTTTTTTTTTGGCTGAAAATATTTCTTTGATAATTGCTTTTTTATTGCCTTTTAATTTTACTGCTCGGTCCAAGTTATTAAATAAAATGTTTAATTACAGTTTCAGTCATTTGCATAGTTTAGAAGTTATAAATTGTGGATATTGAAGAACTGTCTCCATTGATTTATAGGTTTAATTTGTGGCCAGTATGTATTACTTAATTTCTGGTGGATTGAATTGTTATAGGCCATAGACCGACCAAAAGTGCTTTTTAATTGCATCTGTACAGTAGGAGTTATTAATGTTTTCTGCTGTTCAAAATTAAGGAGCTGCTTCAGAAGTTAGCAAGTTGAAACATACTCCTGCCAAACAACATTTTTGAAGTTCTGTTTGTAATTTCTTTTTTCACACAGTTTGCTTTATCTCACTGCAGTGTGAGGAGCAGCTTTGAGGACAGACATAATCTCTCATCTTTTTCACTTCTTCTAGTCCTTTCTCCCTCTCAAGGCCCTGTGCTCTTTACCCCTCCCTCCTTTATCCCTGCGAAGGCTTTGTCCCCGCAGCAGAGAGCCTCTCTAAATAGAGGCCTTTAGATAGTCCAGGAACAGGGAGGGGGGGGCAGCAGCGACGCGACTGCTGTTGTTTCATTTACCTCTCCCTATGGCAACCAGCAGCGGTCGGCCAGGAATGTCCCCTCTCTGGACAAAGTCCTGGTCCCTGAAGCTGACACTGGGGGGACGACAGCTGGGACGGGATGGAAACCTGCCCTCCCTGCCCTGGACTGGAGGCCTGAGTCTGGACTTAATCCTCCTCTTCACTTGTGTCTTTTCTCACTTTTGCTGGATGATGAGCAGCCAGAGAAGCTTTTCACACACTATTAACTCTAAAATAGTTGTATATAGTACCAGAAAATAATTTCAAAATCTCTTTTGGTGATGTAAAGAATCCTAAAGGGTTTTCAATACTGCTGAACCACCCACCAAGACCCTTTACAGTGCTGTAAACAACCATTTAGGAGCACATGAAATGCTTCAAACTACATGTGTTAAAGGAGCATTTTGGGAACCATATAAATGGTGTTTTTCAATCTTTAAGAAAAAAAATCTTTTAAGTCATTCAAGCTATATATAGAACCTCAAATCCAGCCTGTGTGTAGGCCACTCCTCCCTGTGCAGGCTTGTTAATTCACTTTACAGCCTGGCAGAATACAAAAGTGGATTTGTTTACTTTATGGGCTGTTAAAAGTTTTTCAGTCAGGACATATGATAGATGTCTACATTTACAAGACTTCATTGAGAGAAATGTACTAACTTACACTTTTATAAACACTGATGAATGCTGGTAAAAATTACAGGATACTGTCATTAATAGTGGTTAAAATAGGTTGCAGGAACATAATGGACTCCAATGGTCATTGTTTTTTAAATGAAACATGTCAATTTAAACTGTTATAAAACTTACTTGGATGCTGCGAGGACAGATAAGAGAAGACTATAAGTCAACATATGAGGTCCAGCACTGTCCAGTTTACTCACAATTTGATCCAATTTATTCACGTTTTATTACAAGGAAGATTTTTACCTAATAAAATTGATTTGCTTGAAAAGTGCCTGAGCTTTTTTCCTTTGTAAGATATCTCGATTTAGAAAGCACACTAGTTGTATTATTGATGTATTTCTCCTGCAACACACCATGCCTCACATCTCAATAACAAAGTGAACTTCACAGGACACTATGTGCTTTATCTGCCTGTTGTCTTAAAACCGGTTTGAATAAATTAGATTTCAGACTATTTTCTTTGTTCCACAAGTGCATGAGCTTCAAACTTCAATGCCTAAATTATGCTATTTTAATTTCAAACTAATGGTTGAGTGATGGAGTATGTAAAGATGATCAATACTCAGTATATTCTCTCATACACACACACACACACACACACACACACACACATATAACGCTGCATAAGTAACATATTAATATGCATACACCTACAGCGTCTTAGCAGTAATCTTGCAACACTGCAGCACTCATAAAAACATTAAACTGCATTTTTTCTGTTATTATAGGCCTCGTCTATGAATATGCAGATTATATATATGCCTGTCATTTGAAATCTATCAGCTTTTGCTGCAATAAAAAGGTTTACATCGCCTAATCAAAATAGGATTTTACACACTCGTTTCCATAACATTTAGTATCATAAATGTGCGCAGAATTACAGTCAACAATTAACAGCAAAATGTAAAGTCTACCTCAGTAAACAGTTGTATATCCTACACACAAGCTTATTTAATCTTCCCATTAAGGGGAAGCTGGTCTCTGGATCTAGGCTACCCTCAGCCTGAGTCTTCACACAACATGATTATCAAAGTAAATCAACTGTATCTTACAGTTGCACTGCTGATCCCGGTGCTCCGTCTCCCCATGCTGCACTCCGGCTCTCCGCTTCCACGGGAGCCTCAACTCGCACCTCTCCAACAAAGAGAGTAGTGTTTGTTGAGACTTCCCCGCAGCCAATCGCTGCGTCGTTGCCCTTGGTAACCACGTCCATCATCCTTTGACGTCCAATGAGCAGCGGGGGCGTGGCGGAGTCCAGGTGCGCCTCGGCGTCCACTTGGCAGAGCGCCTGAGAGCCGCCTGTGGGCAGGAGAGGATCTGTCAAATGCGAGGTTCCTTTAATAAGAGCGACCAGTCCGGCTCCGAGAGTCATGGCGACCGCAGCGTCTAACCACTACAACATCCTCACCTCCAGCGCATCCATCGTGCACTCGGAGCCCGGCAGCATGCAGCAAGCTACGGCGTACCGGGATGCGCAGAGCCTGTTGCAGAGCGACTACCCGCTGCAGAGCAACAGCCACACGCTCAGCCACGCACACCAGTGGATCACTGCGCTGTCCCACGGAGAGGGAGCCCCGTGGTCCTCCAGCCCGCTCGGCGCGGAGCAGGACATCAAACCCGCGGTGCAGGGCGCCCGGGACGAGATGCACAACTCCAGCAGCAACCTGCAGCACCAGTCACGGCCGCCCCACCTGGTGCACCAGACGCACGGGAACCACCACGACGGCCGGGCGTGGAGAACCACCACCGCGGCGCACATACCGAGCATGGCCACGACGAACGGCCAAAGCCTTATTTACTCCCAGCCGGGCTTCAGCGTCAACGGGCTGATCCCGGGCAGCGGGCAGGGGATGCACCACCACAACCTAAGAGACAGTCATGACGACCACCACAGCCCGCACCTCAGCGAACACGGCCACCCTCCGTCCCAGCATCAGCACCAGCACCGGCCGCAGAGCCACCACGACCACTCGGACGAGGATACGCCGACCTCGGACGACCTGGAGCAGTTCGCCAAGCAGTTCAAACAGCGGAGGATCAAGCTGGGCTTCACGCAGGCGGACGTGGGACTCGCCCTGGGGACCCTGTACGGAAATGTGTTTTCCCAAACCACCATATGCAGGTTTGAGGCCCTGCAGCTCAGCTTCAAAAACATGTGCAAGCTGAAACCTCTGTTGAACAAGTGGTTGGAGGAGGCGGACTCCACCTCGGGCAGCCCGACCAGCCTGGACAAAATCGCGGCGCAGGGGAGGAAAAGGAAAAAACGGACTTCAATCGAGGTAAGCGTAAAGGGAGCTTTGGAGAGCCATTTTTTGAAGTGCCCTAAACCGGCAGCGTCGGAAATAATCGGCCTGGCGGACAGTCTGCACCTGGAGAAAGAAGTGGTGAGGGTTTGGTTTTGTAACAGGAGACAGAAGGAGAAACGCATGACCCCTCCCGGAGGAGCTCTGCCGGGGAGCGAGGATGTGTACGGGGACACGCCGCCGCACCACGGGGTCCAGACCCCGGTCCAATGAACTCTGCTGGACCGCTCCTCCAGGACATGTTTATCCTTTTTATTTATCCCCAAGGTTATATATAAATCACTGAACTATGAGACGCTATAGTGGGTGTTTTATGTATAATAGATTGCAGTGAGTACTTACACAATATCTGCAGTGAATATCTGAGAAATGGAAAATGAGTGAGGGGAGGACAGGACATTTTTTTCCTCTGCCAGAGCTAAAGGAACATAAGCCTGTGTTGTGTTCTCCGAGGATACATGCCCAGCACTGTGACTCCAGTCGACGCAGTTTCAAGGTGTAGCCCCTATTGTGTATTGAAATTATACTTGACGAAAAAAAAGAGGGAGGGGAGGAGGGATACCTGGTTTTAGACGAAAAGCATAGCTGAATGGTTTCCATTCGCCACTTTTATACCTATCAAATCACAGAACACATTTTTTCCTGTGCGTAAAAAGGGAAAGCAAATACAAAGGCGTTTAGTTTTGTAGCCCTAAATTGTGCGTCCAGCAGTGATGGGTGGGTGGGTGGGAGGGTGGTGCAGAGGGGGGGGGGTGTCAGGGGAGCTGCGTTAATGGAGTAAACTGGAGGCCAGTAAAGGCTGCAGCCCCAGTCCAGTGGAGTCCAGCTGAGGGTGAGCATCGCCTGAGTCCCATCTGTCAGCCAGGCAGCTCAGAGCCGCTTTCATTCAAAACACTGCTGGGAAACTGCAGGCCATCCAGCTCTTATTTATTCTGTGAGGACTGAGGTCAGGATTTAGTTATGAACACAGATTATTATTATTATCATTATTATTATTATTATTACTATATGTGTGCAGCTCACTGGCTAAACTCTCCAATAATTAGCCCGAGTGCAGTGATTACAAAGTGTATGACCTCTATCGTAAGTCAAACAGCAGTACAAACACAAAGTCCATTATATTTTTCACAAAGCAAGCGTTAAATGATATTTCTCCCCCCTCAGAGAGTCTCCCAGCTTCAGGAAGGGCTCCGTGGCGATTGATTGGATTATCTGGCACTTTTCCACAACATGCAGGATGGGCTACAGATATATAGATATCTACAGAAAAAATATATGTCACCAACTCTCACAGAACATTTGGATCCACTTTTGTAAATATTGTATAACTTTAAAAGTCATGGCTTCATCCCTTTTTTTTTCTTTCTTCACTGGGGCACTTTTTTGGATTGATGTTTTCAAGAACAAACAGGTTGAGGGTTTTTTTTTTTGTTTAAATCCAGTCTCATTCATAACCTACCTACTGCCTTGTATTTGTGTATTTAACGTTAATTTTGTTGCCGAAATTATGCTCGTTTAGGGTTTAATAATTTTTTTGTGGCGCATTGTGTTTTCAGTCTAAATATGTTTTAATGTGAAATCAATTTAATTTGTTTAAATTGTCCAAGGAGTTCTGTTTTGCCATTTGATGCCCGCTCTGAAATTACATTAGATTGTGTTTCCAATCAAAATATAGTGCTTTTAAGACTGAATTCAGATTAATCGATAACACTATTGTAGAGAATATTATTGTCCACAATGAATCAGACGACAGAGGATAAAAACGGGGATAACAATAACATGATGAGTGTGTTAGAAATGAAAAATAATAATAAGGCCTTTAGATTTCCTCCCAGAAAACAATTTAGTGACATTCCAAAAACTGCAGCATATGATCAAAATTATTATTATAATTATTTTAATTGTTATTATTGTTATTATTATTATTATCATTATTACTATTATGCTGTTATTTTAATTTGTTTGTGAGGTCGTTGCCATGCATTTCATTTCAGCCATTTTGTTCATCTTCGTCTATGTTGCTTTATTACAATGGGGAAAATTGCTCGTAGACATTTTATTTTATTTTTTAGTATTGTTAATGAGATTGTAATTTATTATACAATGGCTTTTATAGATGACACAAAGTGCGAGATATACTATATGAAATGACACCGAGAAGGCTTTTGTTTTGTAGGGAACAAGAGAGACATATTTTTGATTTTGATTTTTTTTTTTTTTTCAGCGGGATTGCCACAGCTTAAACCGTCACAGCTAAATGTATATACATCTTTTCTCCGTACAGTAGCTTGTTTTTCGTTTTATGCAAAAACAGATATCCAGGGACTTGTGTTTTTTTTCTCCTCTCATGTGGAAACAGCTTTTCCTCCCCCCCTCTCCTGATTTATGTTTCTCCTGCAGAAAACAACAAGCAGAACCGACCATGGCATTGAAATCCTTCCTCAGTAGCTTTAATGAATCGATCCAATTCATAATTCACTGGAAAAATCCAAGTTGTGGGATGTAGACCTGTAGCAATCCGACGCTGTTTTCTTGTTGTTTTTGTTTAATTGCTTGTTAAACCAGTCGTTTGGTTATTATTTTTTGGGGGGGATATAGGCTATGTCATATTCACTGGATGAACTTGGGGTAGATAAAGCAGAGGTGATAAACGCCTGTTGGTGTTTCATCACTTGACACATGACCAACGGACTTGCACATTTTTAAATAATGGGGTTGATATTAAACAGCTTTTTTCCAACGTCGAGGCTAAATGTATTATTTTTTTCCCTTTGACTTCAGCTGCTGCAGTGACTTGACTGTCTGCTTGACATCTGTGGTGTTAAAAAAATATGCTTCTTGCTTTGAGCTCATTCGTTTGGGTGGAATTAATGGCTGAGAGAAAATCAGGGCTGATGAATGGAAGATTGTGAGCCGATGATGTGTTGTTTCTGCCCCAGGCTGCTTTTAAATGGACTGGCTTTGGCTGGGGAAACCACAGCTTCCATCTAGGGTTAAATTAGGGGTTCCCAAAGTGAGGTCCGAGGACCAATAGTGGTCCTTAAAAGACTGAAAGAGGTCCGAGATTGTAATATTTTGATTTCACTGCTATTTTATTTGAAACTAGATGTGTCACTTTCTCTGTTGCACACTCAGTATTGCGGACTAAAAAAGAATAATACAGATATAAACAAAGATTAATATTAATATCATTTCTCTGCCCTGGGTTACAGATGCTTTTTTCTGTAGCTTTGTCCAAGGCAAAAAAGAAAAAACATAAGACAAAAACTTGCATTAATTTGGCCATTTTGTGCTTTAAATCTTACATCACTTGGACTGACAAAACAACCCGGACAGTAAACGCATCACACCTTGTGAGATTTTAATAATTTTAAAATAACACTTCTGCATCTAAAACAGGAAATTCTGCATCAGTTGATTTAAAAAATGCTCTTATAAGAAAAAACTCACTCTAACATTTCCGCAGGGACTTCTAGTGACAGCGATATTGACAGTGGTGACCCTGATGGTATTTTCTTATTCACTATGATATGTAATTTCTCTGTAATATTCCCACAGGATGCTGTGGTGTGATATTTGTATGAGCATCTCTCTAAAAATCTATCCCAGCTCATTTTATTTTGGAGCTGACAGCCAGAATACAAAGTTGTTATTTCCCTGCCTCTTCCTGCTTAACTACAGAAATAATGTCACACGTGTTGCCCTCTGTGGTTTATCATCATAATATTAATTACAATCGGATTCGTCTCCATTTCATCCCACAAGGTGCCAGCCCTGATGCTGGAGAGGATGAGCCTGTGTGGATGAGTGAGAGATTTACCTCAGCATTACTAAGCAAATCGTTTGGGAATCTATTGCTGATTGATTATTGATGGCGTTGACCAATTAAGCTGATCATACAGAAAAAGTAGTGTCGCTCTTTGATGTCGTTTTTTATTTTTATTTTTGATAAGAATACTGGCATAAAAATAGCGTCTCCTCCTTGTGAAAA